ATTACTGTAAACCAACTTTTGTTCGCGTGTGAGAAATTTTCCCGATGTTCGCGTTAGTCATGTCATCGCGAATATTTCTCACCGCGAACCAGTTTTTAAAGTGTATGTGCCTATTAATAACAGATCCAAAATAGGCTTGATCGCAAAAAATAATCGTCACGAACTAGTTTATACCCGGTAAATCGCGAAATAAAGTCGTCGCCAATAAAAGTTGGTTTACAGTAATTGTAATATATACATGTAATTGCTGCGGTAATATAGCTGCTCCATTTTGTAACATGTAAACCTTACATGTGCTCATACATAATAAGTGGAGAATGTTATGACAAAGATACATTGTTAACATGACCATTTGATCCAGTAACTTGCCTGTATGAAAATCGCGTACCCTTCATAAATAAAGACAGGTTAAGATATCTTTTGAAGAAAGATCAAGGCCAAAACTCCTAGATATATTACTTATTCCAGGAAAGCTGTAAACTTACTTTTTTTAATTAATTGAAAAGAACATTTTTTAAACATTGATGAACGTGTAGAGAGAACGACAAAGACTTTAAATGTATTCATGTATGGGTCAAAGTCAAAATGGTTAAATTCAAATTAACATATAAGTTGTATTTAAAAAATACATTAATAAGTACATATCAAAAAATCAAGTTTTTGTTTAGACAAATGAAAGAGACTTCTGGTAGATCGATCCTTCGACCATTTCCAAAAGGTCTTTTAAACATAAGCAAGGATTATGTTCTAGTCTTTTACTTTGTTGTTTTGCATTTTCCTGACGTTCTGTTGTTTTTGTTAAATTGATCGCTGTTCCTTACCTTCACCCTCCTCCTTTTAGGATTATTTCTGATGACAGTAGGAATGAAATACTTCAGCAGTCGACAATGTGTCACCATCGGTGGACTCTTCGTGACAACATCTCTCATACTGAGCACATTTGCCAAAAACGTCACGCATTTAGTATTTACTCACAGTGTACTAATTGGTAAGTAGAGGGAAACATACATATTATTGCTCCGTTTCTCAATTTTATGTCTTTTACAGGATTTGGTTTTGCTGCAGTGTTGGGTCCATCACTCATCATCACAGGTCAATATTTCGATACCAGAAGAGGAATAGCCAATGGACTTTATACAGCCGCTGCCAGTTTTGGTGCTCTATAACTTGCCCCTGCATTCAGATATTTCGTGGATGCTTTGTTTCTAAAAGGTGCTCTGTTGATTTTAGCGGGTTTGGCTTTCCATATTGTTCCTGCTGGGATGTTGCTGCGTCCGCCTGAATTGTACGAAAAATGGACTTGTCAGAAAAAGTCACGAGACGAATATGATGAAGAAAATTCTAGAATGCTTCCTTTGGTCAAAAACTCTGTTGCAGATACCTGCAATGAAGACTCGGGCGTTACCGTATCAGAAGCTCCATCCATTTTGAATGGTTTACGTCACCTCTCCGTTTATTCGTCTGTTACATTGCTTCCGTCTTTGAAACCGAAAGATGCCATTAGTGTACATAGTTACGATGCTCCAAAAATTTCAAATGGCATTCATTACTATTCGAATAGAAGTATTTGTGACCATGATCTTAAACGGAAAGAAAAATTATATGGAAGTGCGGATGTGATTATGATTGTGCCTTATGGAAACGGGTCCATTTCTAGTTTAGCTAATGCCAAAAAGTCAGATAGCTTATTGTTGAATGAAAAACAACTCCATAGACAGGCAGCAAATGAATATACAAATCATAAGAATGAGACAACTCATTCAGACGATCAAAAAAAAATTAAGAGAAAACGATCATAAGAAATTTGTTTAATGCCGCTATCTTCAAAAATGCCCAATATTTCTTCTTCGCGTTGGGATTTACATTAGGAGTCCCGGTGGTTATAATTGTGGTATACCTTCCAGATGTCGCTGAGGATTGTGGGATTTCACGTAATGATGGCGCCCTTTGGGTATCTATTTATATGGTAGGGGAGATAATTGGGCGATGTGGAAGTGGATTTTTCTCAGGAAAATTAATACGTCGATCGCCAGATTGTCATTGCCTTATCGCTATTGATAGCAGGGATAGCACAAAATCTTGTTCGATTTTTACAAACATTCTGGCTTCTAGCTGCCTTTGCTGCTGTGAATGGGGTGTTTGGAGGTCCTATACATGGACTGTATGCCTCGGTGGTGGTGGACAAACTGGGTATAGAAAACCTGAGAGCGGTTTGTGTGTTCTGCAATTATCTCAGGGTATAATATGGAGTGCCATTCTACCAATTGAAGGTAATATATCTTTTCTATCAAATTCCAAAATTACAAATTTTTTAATCATTGTTTTTAATTTCTTTTGTAGTTTAACATAATCAATTCGATTAGATTAATTTATCATAATATATAACATCAAATGCTTCTCTTTTCAGGCTATCTTCGGGATGTCTCGGGGGATTACATGTTAACTTACCATTTTGTGGGATCTTTAACCATATTTGCTGCTACAATTTTATGTGTCAGTCATTATAGTGTGAAAAGGTCACCAAAGGTTACCGAAGTAGATATTACAGAAGAGGAAGCTTGAGATAACAGCAACTTTTAATTTGTTCTTTATTTTTTAAAGATTTTTTGGATCCGCCTCTTCGTTATATAAGCATCTTTTACTGTAGACTGAAAATAAAAAAAGAGATAAATTTTGAATGTGTTTAATGCATACAAAATTTGCAAGAGTTATCTTTTTTTCAATTTAAATGTTCATTATATCTTACATACTTAACAAAATCAAGCCACAATCATATGACATTCCATAAAACTACCTCAAACAAGTATCAACATTTTATGTAGAAGACTTTTATGAAGTGGCATATAGTTTTAAAACTTTTGATGTACCTTTTGACACTTTACAAGATGCAGAACTAAAAGAAATCAAATGTTTTAAAATTACGTTTCATAAATCAAAATTGTCTAGTAAAATACATGTAGTAGACAGATGTTCTATAAGAGAAAAATAATCAACACCGAATTTTACAATTTCATTAATCTTCAATTTTCTTTCCTTTATGAACATTAAAATAATTTCAAATAGATGATTTATTTGCAAAAATAAACCAAAAAAGTGACATTTTATGCTTCTTGTTGTATCACAAAACGATGCCATTTCGCATGCATTGTATCATTCAAATGCTTTGAATGGAATATATAGAGATAAAGAACAGAATTCAAGCTCAAACTTCATTAAACAAAACTTGTCAGGTGTCACAGAGCAAACTCAGTGGGTTCTGGTGACACTGAGGAGTAAGCATCCGCTGCCGACCTTTTACACCCACCGTAACATAATCTGACAATAACGGAACATCGTTAGACAATTCAGGGTGTAAAAGGACCTTATAATGATTATTAAAAACGTCAATCAGCATTTAATTGAATGATAGATTGTATATATTTGCTTATAAGGTCATTGTGTCGACCACAGAACTTACGAAATGATTACCTAAACGAGAATGCTGATATTCTTGTTTCATCAATATGTTCATCAATAACTTACATGTACTTCGTTTAAGAAATGGTTCATACATAATGCATGTTCTTGTGCATCGTCCAAACTAAGAAATATAAACCCCGTGTGCAGGTGATAAGAGTATGTTTCTGCATAAGTAAGGGAATTTGACAATTGTAGTCATCAGTACATCATAAAGCTTGATATCGGGTACATGAGAGGTGAAAGCATTCCCTGTTTACAGGCAAACCGCCCTGAGCATATCGTATTGATTGGTTAGATAAATATACAATTCAGTAGAGTAATTAAAAAATATATCGTGAAAAGTCTAAAAATATCTGTCAAATTTAACCCAACGATAACTTGTATTTATTTAGCTCACATGCATGAATAGTCATTATATAGCGATCGTAGATCTAATGAATTGCTGACTTCAATCGATATCGTTGAAATCCCTGTAAAGTCAACCTATCTGACAGTAGCCTACCCTGGATTAAGATTAAGAACATGTTCTTGAAGTACTCTTGCTCCTGTGGGAAAACAATAATGCATACTAGTATTTAAGATTTGATCAAAGCAGTTTTTTTTATATTTTGATGGTAATGAAAAATCATTTTTATATCTTAAAAATAAAATCTCTTGTTAACACTAACTAATAAGTTTCTTTAATACAAATATTCAAAATTTGTTATATCTCATTTCCTAGATGAACAGATTTTCGGCAGTCATTTTTAGCAGGTTATTTTTGATATTATTAGGATCAAATTGATGTGTCTGTGTCGAAAGAAATTTTCACTTTATCACTTCTAAATAAAAATACTCAGTTTTATTAAATACATGTATTATCACTTCTTATGTAGAGAAAAAATTTGGGATCCACCCTCACACTTCTATTAACTAACAATTGTAAGATGTCAGTTAGTACATCGAACTCAAAATTATATCTTAGAATGAATATTTCACTGATGGTGATCTAAAGAATGACAATATTCACACCAAAAATAACGTGTTAAGTAATTTTTTTTATTTCTTATCCGAAGTTACAAGAGCTTAATTTAATTTTAATCATATATATGCTTTGAATACTTGTTTTGTTCATATTAAATAAACATTGGCTTTAAAATATAAAATTGGTGTCTTTAATAAAATATGTCAATGACCTATAACCAACTCAAGTAAACATACATTATACATATCTTACTAGATTTTGTAAAACTTTTTTAGAACAGCATATGTTTTGGTACAGACAATAACACAAGTAATTTTTCGCTCAGTAGACATAATATTTTTAATACTTAGAACTGACACAATAAATTCATCTCAAAATATCAACTTAAGAATAAGGTTAAATCTATTTAAATCTGCAAAAAAAAATCACAACGTTGATGTTCCTATGTCGCAGATTCAGCACCGCCGTATCCCTGATTTATAATATTCCTTTGTTAGAGTGTAAACTCTTCATGTGAAAAAAAAACATCTGGATCTATGCCATGACTTCAATATACAAACAAATATATTTGCTGCCATTGACCTTCCAAATCTCAACATGAAGAAAATTCCAGATTCAGACTAATTCACGAATTGACACCGTCAGAATATTCCAGACAGGTTATGTGCACGTATATATTTGGGGAGCATCAAGATAAATTTCTACGATGCTGAAGCTGGAATGGAAAAGGAAAATAATTGTTAAGTAACATGAAAGTCGTGTTTTCACATGTGTTTCAGGACGCCTAGTCATATTGGCTTTATGAAGACTTATTCTAGCGTAACTCTCTCGTTTAAAGTTATTACAGAACTACGTATCGACTTGCTGAATATGAATATTTAATTAATAGCTTTTTACACTCGTGATTCTTTTTTCTGTTTGCATAACATGAACGTGAACGATTGACAATCGTGCAGCTCGGTGTGCAATCAACATCATCACCTGCCACGCAACGTACAAGTATGTGATTTTGATGAGAATACACCGGTAGCATTTGTCGTCTGCCCAGAGAAGCAAATCAAGAGACGACGATGGGAGCCGAGGACACGGATGTAAAAAAGGAACATGCTCACCCCATTGATAAAGGGTGGGCTTGGATCATTTTATCTGGTGAGTAAAATTATTCCTCTGACCTTATTTTCACCTCAACTTCTGTTTTTACCAACGTACATTAATGTTTATTTACAATTTTCGTACTCATGCTCACTGTCTCATAATTTTAAATATTCTATCCATTCTGCAGGTAATGGACACATTACACTGCTTTCTATGTAATATTGATTATTTGTAGCTTACACTGTAGTATACATAGTAATACGCAAGTTTCGAGATTATCTCCCTTGATGCGCTATTCCGTTGAGGAGGGGAGTTTCGTTGCCGCGTTAACAAACAGGTGGGACAGATATTTGATACTGTGTATGTTGGATACATTGCAGCATCTATATACCGGTTTATCACAACTACACGATTGTCAAGATACACTCTGCAGCTTGAGAATAGCCAAATTAAAGTAAAGGCATCATTTTTAAATCAAAAATATCGATACAAAAAGAAAATATCAGTGGATATCAGACTTTTCGGACGAGGGAATAGACCTCTAATAAATACGATACACATGCATCTGGTCATTGCACGTCGGGAATCTAAATTACATACTGATTCTTTTCCTTATTTTAACTTAAAAACACTAATTTTTAGAAAATGTTCGTACTATCAAGAAAATCTGTTACTTTATATAAAGACTATGACATTTCTTTCGTTTTCAAGTACACGAATATTTATAGATTTGTAAATATGCATAGTTGAGCTTGATAAAATCATCAAATGCATCACTGCTTAACATTATTATCTTTCTATAACATTTAATTAATTTGAAAAGCCATAAATATCGTTCTTTTATTTATGCACTTTTGTATACAGAGACAACCTGTCCCACCTCCATGCTGAAATGGGTACTTTTTGCGCCTCTATCGTAGGAGAGTTACAATCTCGAAACTGGCGTATTGTAACCTTATTTGGTTATTGATTTAATATAAATTCATGTTGTATCGATACGTCTTTGTCGCCTCGTGGAGGAAAGGGATGATACACAAGAAAAGTACAGAGATTTTTTCAAGAAGGTCCATGCCCATTCAACTTCAACTAAAAAATTTAAAAAGTTAAAAATCACAGGTTGAAGCTAGTTTAAACTTTACTTCATTTAAATTAGACATCATATATACACAATACATAATACAAACAGGATTCGGAAACAAGTTGTAACAACTTATATTAATCCGTTTGAAGCTACACCATTCAGTAAACAGAATGGTGACTGCAAGGTCTGAACAGGTCATTGAATGGCAGGGTTCTGCAAATTAAATACACCTTTAAATGGACTTCCAATAAACTGAAGGCAGAGTTCTGCAATTTAAATTTCTAATTTATTGAATGGTCCATAAATGTGGCAATATACGCATTATGTAATTTAAGCTCTTGACAATGATTTACTAATTTTTATGTCTCTGATAGAATTGTTTCAATCTTAATTTCAGCGTCTTTGTGTGCAATGATGATCTATGGAGGGATACATCGCGGGTTCGGAATTCTGTTCGTGGAGTTCCGTAAAAAGTTTGACTCGTCTTCGGCCGGTATGTCCATCGTGGTCAGTGTACAGATTGCAGTGATGAGTATCTCCGGTAAAGATCATTAAGTGGTATTAATTATGTGGAGATGACGAACAGTATTCGAGCTCCATTAAACAATACCAAATAGGAGCGGAGCAAACACGGACCTCCAAAACATGAGGTGAGATCAGGTGCCATGGAGGAGTGAGCATCCGTATTTGTCAAAGGCCTGCTTCGTTTTAGAAAGTGTTCGTTTATGTCTAATCACCTGGGATAAACAAATTCCAAATGCAGATGATACATATAATGGTTTATTGTTTCATGAATATAAAGGGAAGCCGACAAAAGTAAACTCATAATCTTTAACATTAAGTAAAATTGTCAGTTTGCGCAATTATTTATTCTCCAATATAACATTCAAATATAGAACATACAAATGTGCAAGACTCTGACATTGATTGAATTGAATATTTCGAATTATTGTAGAGATGACATTGAAGGTTGATATCTATGTCGAATTGAAGGCCATACCAAGATACTTCCTTTCAAGATTTATAAATTCTGTCTCTTGTGAATACAAAACAGATCACTTTAAGTACCTATGTGTATGCTTTAATGAATATCTGAAGAGTCTTAGATTTATTTAAATTTACTGTTAATTGCTATTGCAAGCAACACATGCATTTCTTGGATCTCTCTACTTTTTTACTCACATGCTCTGTTTACAGGTTTATTTCTGATGACAGTGGGAATGAAATACTTCAGCAGTCGACAGTGTGTCACCATCGGTGGATTCTTCGTGACAACATCTCTCATACTGAGCACATTTGCCAAAAACGTCACGCATTTAGTATTTACCCACAGTGTTCTAATTGGTATGTTAAACAGAATAGAAAGATTTTTTTCTGAATTTCTTCAAGCATTTTGTCATATTCATCTCTGACCTTTTTTCATAAGGCATTAGGAGATTCTCTCAGGTTTTGTTTAAATTTTTCTCCACTGTCTTTATACAGGTTTTGGTTTGGCGGCAGTACTTGGTCCCTCTCTGATCATCACAGGCCAATATTTTGATTCCAGACGAGGGATAGCCAACGGGCTTCACACAGCTGCCGCTAGCTTTGGTGCACTTGTTCTTGCCCCTGTATTCAGATACTTCATCGATGCTTTTATTTTGAAGGGTGCTCTGTTAATTTTAGCGGGATTGGCTTTCCACATAGTACCTGCAGGAATGTTGCTCCGCCCACCGGAATTGTATAAAAAGTGGGTTCATCAGAAAAATACACGAGATGAAAATGATAAAGAAACTTGTATTACTTCTTGTTTGGTCCAAATATCTAATGGGGATATAAATGAAGATTCAGGCGTTAGTGTGACACAAAATCCCTCCATTTTGAATGTTTGTCGCCATCCTTTCGTTTATTCGTCCGTTCCAATGCTTACGCCCATGAAACCAAAGGATGCCATCAGTGTGCATAGTTATGATGTTCCGAAAATATCTAATAGTAGACATTATTATTCAAATAGAAGTATTTGTGATCATGGCCTTAAACAGGAAGAGAAATTGTACGGAAGTGCTGATATGATTATGATTGTACCGTATGGAAATGGGTCCATTTCTAGTTTAGCTAATGCCAAAAAATCAGATAGCTTATTGTTGAATGGAAAAGTTGTCAATGACCAGCCAAAAAATGGATTTACCAGTCACGAGAATGTGAAAACAAACTTGAAATATCATAAAGAAGAAAAACCCAGAAATTTCTTCAATGCCTCTATCTTTCGAAATGCTCAATATATTTTCTTCGCACTGGGGTTTACATTAGGAGTTCCAGTGGTTATAACTGTGGTATACCTTCCAGATGTCGCTGAGGATTGTGGGATTTCACGTGACGATGGCGCCCTTTTGGTATCTATTTATATGGTAGGGGAGATAATTGGGCGATGTGGAAGTGGGTTTTTCTCAGGAAAATTAATACATCGCCAAATTGTCATTGCTTTATCGCTATTGATAGCAGGGATTGCACAAAATCTTGTTCGATTTTTACAAACATTCTGGCTTCTAGCTGCCTTTGCTGTTGTGAATGGTGTGTTTGGAGGTCCAATACATGGACTCTATGCCTCGGTGGTGGTGGACATACTGGGTATAGAAAACCTGAGAAGTGGTTTGTGTGTTCTGCAATTATCACAGGGTATAATATGGAGTGCCATTCTACCAATTACAGGTAAGGTTTTCAAGTCATTGATATTCTCTACCATAAAACAAAAATAATAAATTGCTATGCATTTCTTTAAATATTGTTTTACTTGTGTTTAGAAGAATAAATAAATAAAATACATATTGTTTCTCTTTTCAGGGTATCTTCGTGATGCCTCGGGGGATTACATGTTAACTTACCATTTTGTAGGGTCATTAACCATAATTGCTGCTTCAGTTTTATTTGTTAGCCATTATTGTGTAAAGAGGTCACCAAACATTACGGAAGTAGACGTTACAGAAGAAGAAACTTGATATTTCTTTTTGTTTTGCTGTTGTTCGTTTACTTTTTACCTCTTTTAATAATAACAGTTCTTTCATCTGTAATATATGCTTCTGTATTGGAATTATTAAAATTTTGCATTTTGTTTATCGATTGTGTGTTTTTTTTTTTTATTTATTTTATAACTATTTAGGTTAATAACTTTTTAGCTCACCTGAGCCGAATGCTCAAGTGAGCTTTTCTGATCACATTTTGTCCGGCGTCTGCCTGTCTAGCTGTCCGTCTGTCTGTAAACTTTTCACATTTTCGACTTCTTCTCAAGAACCGCTAGGCCATTTTCAGCCAAAATTGTCACAAAGCATCCTTAGGTGAAGGGGATTCAAGTTTGTTCAAATGAAGGGCCACGTCCTCATTCAAGGGGAGATAATTGGGAAATATGAAAATTTGTTCGCAAGATTTAAAAACCTTCTTCTCAAGAACCACTGTGCCAGGAAAAATGAATTTTATGGGGAAACATTCTCAGGTAGTGTAGATTTAAATTTAATCAAATCATTACCCCTGGGAGTAGGGCGGGGCCACAATGGCCGATCAAAGTTTTACATAGAAATATATAGGAAAACTATTTAAAAATCTTCTTCTCAAGAATAACAAAGCCATGACTGATCATATTTATATGGAAGCACCCACAAGTAGTGTAGATTCAAGTTTGTTCAAATCATGACCCCCGGGGGTAAGGCGGGGCCATAATCGCTGACCAAAATTTTACATAGAAATATATAGGAAAATTCTTTAAAAATCTTCCTCTCAAGAATAGCAAAGCCATAATTGATCATATTTATATGAAAGCATCCCCAGGTAGTGTAGATTCAATTTTGTTCAAATCACAACCCCCGGGGGGTAGGGCGGGCCAAAATGGGCGATCAAAGTTTTACATGGACATATATAGGAAAATTCTTTAAAAACTATCTTCTCAAGAATACATGTAGCAAAGCCATGATTGGTCATGGGACTACTTTTGGATTTAAACTTTTTAATAATAAATCAATTTAAACTTTTTCCAAGCCACAATGCTCAGGTGAGCGGTGTGGCCCATGGGCCTCTTGTTTGTATTCATGTAGTATATTATTCACACTATTATACTATAATACCATGGAAAATGAGGATAACGAACAATAATCATATCTAATAAAGCAGTACAACTTAGGTGCAGAGCAAACATTGACACACACACAAAAAAAAAAAACATCAGAGGAGGGATCAAGTGCCATAGAGGAGAAAAACATGCAATATAATTAGAATCATTTCTGGAAAGAAAAACATGAGCTCATTTCAACATTTTTTTGAAAACATGTGTCATGCTTTGGAGGAAACAAGGATTGCAACATGATAAATTCTTTTGTTTATTTTGAAAGGAAAATGTAACTTGACGCCAGATACTGTTTTTAATTGTTCTAAAAGGAGATAGATTTTTAAGAGATTCGTAATAAATACTCTACCTTTCAAAATATTCCCATTATAAATAAAGATTTTCTCTTGTTACATGTCCAATAATTTTAATATCAATTTCAGAAGTCAGTAGCAAAAAAAGTTTTACATTTTACTTTTGATGTTATTCTTCACCAAACAAGACTTCTTGTGATTATCCTAAGCTATTATATAAATATTGCATGTAGTTGAGTGTAACATTGAAAATTTTCACCCCAAGAAAACCATTGTCAATGCGCCTCGGTTGACAATGGTTTTCGAGGGGTGAAAATTTTTTTAATGTTACACTCAACAACATGCAATATTTATTATATTATACTGAATGTTTTATACAAATACATATAACAGTGAACCGTGCGCGCATAAATTCTGCGCAGTCGCTATTTTTTATAATACCACCCGTCGTCAAGCAATGTTGACTGTTGCTACGCTGGAGGGCGTGGCTTCATTATTCAGCGGGTAATAGTGTTTTTTAGCTAATGTTTCTCGACCAATCAGATTCAACTGATTTACGAGTGTTTTTGTTTGTTTGTTTTTGTTTTTGTTTTTTTTTTGTTTTTTTTTTTTTTTTTTTTTTTTTTTTTTTTTTTTTTTAGTTTTAAAAACTACTGAAGGAATGTACGCTTAACAATCTAAAAATCAGTACCAATTTCTGTCTTTATGGTATTTTAAAACTTTTTAGAAAGTTTATCTGTCGGGATTTCAGATTAGATTCCTGTGTAAATTGATCGGACTCGTAAATCAGAATTTTTCTAAACATCCGGTTTCCTCCCTGTTGATGCAGGTTGTAGGAAAATGGAGAAAAATGGGGAAAAGATTGTTAACCCTGCAGCCAAAGGAAGAGAAACGGTATTTTAAGTCATATTTGTTTTCAACAAATTGCAAAATCTATGCATTGTCTAGCTATAAACCACAGTATGAATAACTTGACATCCCGAATTTTCTCGTTGATCCAAACATTTCTGACATCGTTTTGGTTTTCGTCGTCCAAATGTAAAGAGAGAAATAATAAAATTGAACTTACTTAATATCTCAAGTTGTCCGATGGTGTCAAAGAAAAATCCAGTTTGAATGAGTTGTTTTTATTTCACTCTCAATCTGCTTGCATCAGTAAATGATTCATTTTCAGAGAAGGGTAGTGAAGATAAATGTAAAGGTATCAATTCAGTATGTTCTAGTTGCTTGTATAAATGTGTTATTTGAAATTTTATATTCATCCCTTTGTTTTGACCTTCACATTTATATTCTGTTTGATTATTTGGTTTCAGTTACATTTTAAGTGTTTGTTATTCAATGTGGCATTATAAATGTCCATCCTTCTTGAAAGAGTCAATTTGGTGTAGTTGGTAGGGGAAAATACATTAAAGAATATATATGGCTGGAGGAACAGAACATATTGAAATTGGACCCGTGCATTACTATTCAGAAGCTCTACCACTGATCTACCCCAGCCAATATTCACCTTCCATTTAGCCCAACACTCTTAGCAGAAAGACTTACCTGTACAAGACTTTTTTAATGGGATGTGATGCTCTTGTAGAATAAAATGTAAACCAGGCAATTTAGGAATTTTGAAAAATGCACAATGTTTGTTACTTGAACAAAGTACTTAAAAAGATTGGTGCTGTTAAAATTCATGTAAGGAGATTTAATATGTACAAATAATATTTATATCCTTTGCAACCATTCAGGTGAACTGCTTTAAGTTAATAGTCTGGTTGTACCAAGTAATTTTAGAGTGGAAATGACAATATCAAATCGTACCACATTATAAAATTGTTACTACAGATTCTTCATAATATTCTTTGTACATTTTATACATCTAATTTCAGTCCGAGTTTCTTATGGCCATTGTCAGAACTTTATCTACAAGGTAAGAATTCTTACAAGAAAATGATAAAACTGCATGGTATTTAGATTTGTTTATTAATATGCATATAGATCATGTAGATCTTGCTGCTTATATTAAATCACAGTGTGTAGCTGCGTGCATGTTCATGTACATTATATTCATTGTTTTCATTTTTTTAGGTCACCTGAGTAACTCAGGTGACCTATTGCTATCCGTTTTCGTCCGTCGTCGTCCGTCGTGCGTCGTGTGTTAACATTTGAACATTTTCAGCTTCTTCTCTGAAACCAATGAACCAATTTCAACCAAATTTGGTATACAGCATCTATGGGTGAAGGGGAACAAAAATTGTGAATTTCATGGTCCCCACCCCCCTGGGGCCTGAGGGGTGGGGCCAAAACCACTAAAATTAGTGCAATCTTTAAAAATCTTTTTCTTTACTCCTGGACATCAAGCAGGCAAACTGTTGACATGAATGTAATGAGCATTGAGTCCTCTACCAAAATTGTGAAATTCATGGCCCCAGGGTCAGGGGTTCTAGTGCTAGGGTGGGGCTATATAGATTATATAGTGAAAATGCATTATTTCTTTGAAAATCTTCTTCTCTGCTCCGGGGTATAAAATAAACTAACTAAGTACATAGTTATGATGAGCAAGAGTGCCTCTTCCAGATTTGTGAAATTTATGGCCCCAGGGTCAGGGGTTCTGGTGTTAGGGCGGGGCTCTATGAACTATATAGTGAAAATGCATTTATTCTTTGAAAATGTTCTTCTCTGCTTCTGGGTATTAAATAAACTAACTAAGTACATAGTTATGATGAGCAAGAGTGCCTCTTCCAGATTTGTGAATTTTATGGCCCCAGGGTCAGGGGTTCTGGTGTTAGGGCGGGGCTCTATGAATTATATAGTGAAAATGCATTATTTCTTTGGAAATCTTCTTCTCTGCTCCGGGGTATTAAATAAACTAACTAAGTACATAGTTATGATGAGCAAGAGTGCCTCTTCCAGATTTGTGAATTTTATGGCCCCAGGGTCAGGGGTTCTGGTGTTAGGGTGGGGCTGTATGAATTATATAGTGAAAATGCATTTATTCTTTGAAAATCTTCTTCTCTGCTTCTGGGTATTAAATAAACTAACTAAGTACATAGTTATGATGAGCAAGAGTGCCTCTTCCAGATTTGTGAATTTTATGGCCCCAGGGTCAGGGGTTCTGGTGTTAGGGCGGGGCTCTATGAATTATATAGTGAAAATGCATTTATTCTTTGAAAATCTTCTTCTCTGCTTTTGGGTATTAAATAAACTAACTAAGCACATAGTTATGATGAGCAAGAGTGCCTCTTCCAAAATTGTGAATTTTATGGCCCCAGGGTCAGGGGTTCTGGTGTTAGGGCAGGGCTCTATTGATTACAAAGTGAAAATGCAATTATTCTTTGAAAATCTTCTCCTCTGCTTCTGAGTATTAAATAAACTAACTAAGCATATAGTTATGATGAGCAAGAGTGCCTCTTCCAGATTTGTGAATTTTATGGCCCCAGGGTTAAGGGTTCTGGTGTTAGGGGAGGCTCTATTGATCATATAGTGAAAATGCATTTATTCTTTGAAAATCTTCTTCTCTGCTTTTGGGTATTAAATAAACTAACTAAGCACATAGTTATGATGAGCAAGAGTGCCTCCTATAAAATTGTGAATTTTATGCCCCCTGGGTCAGAGGAGGGGGGGCTACATAGTCTGAAAATAAATTAATGCTTTTAAATCTGCTCTTTGGTATTAATCAACCATTTTGTTTTAAAATTTGCAAAATTTTGAAATATGTGGCCCCTGGGTCAGTGGTTCCTTTAGGGTGAGGTGCACAACTGGCTATAAAGTGGAAGTGGATTTTCTCTTTGTTACTCTGATCTACCTCTGGGTATTAAGTAAATAGAGTAAGCATGTTAAGTTAATAATTATGATAAGCAATGGTGCCTCTTTCAAAATCGTGAATTGTGAATTTCATGGCCTCTCGTTTAATCCAAATTCAAGTGTTTGAAAGTTGTTACAAATACTCAGGTGACCTATAAGGTCCGTGGGCCTCTTGTATTAAATTAAAATACTTATTTTGAAAATACTATCACCTTCTTTATTTTAATCAACAGCTATATGCTTGCAATATTTACAGTGCTGACTTTGAACAAAGAGAGAAAGAAAAGGCCAGGATAGAGAAAACTTTTATCCAGAGCGATAAGAGGCTGGGAGAACTTGTCTCTGGTAAATATTAAGCTCCAGTTTGTTTCATCTTCAAAACAGACTGGAAATATGATATCATATTAAACATAGCATTGTGCTTAAAGACTGAGATCATTGAAAATATTTTTATAAATTTTTGTCCATATAAGTAAGACTTGTCTTTATTTTCATTCTGTAGAAAACTACCAGGAATTGGCCCAGATAACACAAGACTTCAGCACCATCAGTAAATCTGTCAATGGTAGGTTTCTTGAAATAACTGTACAGAAATCAGTTTGATTTCACATTTCTTGAAAAATATTTTGAATATTTACATAATATTTATAAGTGTTTTCTCTGCATTCTCACAAAAAAGAGGATGAAAAAAATCTCACAAATTATCCCAAGATTCATGAGCAAGACATTTCAAAATGACTTGTTGCCAAGAATTACACTAATTTTACAGAAGCAAGAGAGAAAATTAAGAAAATAAAAGATGATCTGAGCAGCTGTAAAACCTTGTTACATTGTAAGCGGGATGAATTACGTCGACTTTGGATAGAGGGAGTGGAACAGAAGACCATGGTAGCCATGTTGGATCAGATGTAAGCAAAGTCTTATCAGCATTTGTTGTTGACTGATTCCCTTGTAATATGACCTTGACCTTGAAGGTTAAGGTGTTAGTAAAATCTTGTCAGCATTTGTTGGT